TACATTAGAACTATTCAACCATGGAGTTGAATAATGCGACTTATTTTGCTCTACTCGCGGGTGTTTGGTAGAGTAAAGAATCATGAATTGCTTGTGTTTGTTAAAAATCCAATTAGAAAGCTCATTTATTTATGAAGTATATGTCTATCTGATAGAAGGTTTAAGCCCTGAACATACAGGAACCTTTTAGCTTCTTGATGATAATTAAAAAATTTCTGGCTTTAAGAATAATTAGATGATGATATGATTAATCAATGCATATTTTTATTAATTGATAGAGTGTTAAACTCAAGGCAGTGCTTTATAACAATGTCATCCCAATACTGATAACCCTTTCCAATCATTAAAAGGAGAAAATCAGGGTAGCATTTATTCTTGATTTTCTCCTGATGGCACTGGGTCATTTAACAAAGCAATTCAAAAGAACCGCATTAAATGTTAGAAAACTTCATTTCAGGATTTGTATAGTGCATATCCACATCATATATAGCAACCCAATTCCCAAGAAAACATGTCTCAAACATTGTCACTGTACTAAACCGAGGTGATAGCTGTGCATATGGTTACAATAAAGGGTAGTGAGCGATTCAAATGGCCAGGCCGGACACTTGTAAGGATAGCGTGGTTGGATTGCGTCATTTGTCACTAGGAGCCTTTGAATGAAAACTTTCTGGATTTGTCTCGTAATAGAACGTACAAGAGGCCATATGGCTCATTGAAACAAGGATTTAAGAAAAAAAACCAAACCTTTCAAAGCGTAATCGCTGTGAGAATTACAAATTTAAAATTTCTTCACAGTCATTATAACATCGGAAATGAGTTAAACAGAAAAGCTCTGATAATTCACTGCAAAGTTTAAATTTGTACTTAATTTCCAGTTGGAGTGAGAATGGCTTTCCTGGCTAAGAGGGTTCATCGGTAGGATTTTTTCGGCCCGAAGAATTATTTGACTTGAATAATGCCATTATAAGCTAAGATTACATTTTGAGTATGTTTTTTTTGGTATAAGGAAAGTGATGCCTTTTTTTGAGGGGATTTTTTGGCTATGGTTTCACAAAAACTAATTTTGGTTAAAACAGTGACCACGTAGAGATTGTGATGCGAGTCAGGAACACGTTGGTCGTTTCTTGTTTTGTGCTTCGCATTTCTCTTACTTAGTTAGGCTTTCTACTTCCATGTTACTGGAAACCACGGGGCTTCCTGACTGCTAAGCTCTCAGGGTCAGTCTCCATGCCAGGCTGGGCTCTTCCATTCCTTCCCTACTGTGTGGGCCTGAGGCCTTTAGACTCTGCGATTCTCCCTAGCGCTGTCTCCAGCTTCTCTAACGCTGGCTGGACATCTTTGGTAATTCTCCCTGTGGTACAGGGAGGATATGGTCTCTCCAACTCCCCACTTCCTTGCTGCCCTGAAAAAAGCGTGTGAGACATTTTTCATTTAAGAGTTTTACTGTTGGCTGGGCGTGGTGGCTCACGCCTGTAATCCTAGCACTCTGGGAGGCCGAAGTGGTGGATTGCTCGAGGTCAGGAGTTCGAAACCAGCCTGAGCAAGAGCGAGACCCAGTTTCTACTATAAATAGAAATTAATTGGCCAACTAATATATATAGAAAAAAAAATTTAGCTGGGCATGGTGGCACATGCCTGTAGTCCCAGCTACTTGGGAGGTTGAGGCAGGAGGATTGCTTGAGCCCAGGAGTCTGAGGTTGCTGTGAGCTAGGCTGACGCCACAGCACTCTAGCCTAGGCAACAAAGCAAGACTCTGTCTCAAAAAAAAAAAAAAAAGTTTTACTGTTATTTATTATGAGATAGAGTCTCATAAAAAATCAGACTAAGAAAAAGTTTAAAATTTAACAACACTTCAATGCGTGTTGTCCCCTCATAATTTCCCAATGTGGTTATCAGGCCTGAAAACTGGCGGACCCCTGCTTTGTTCTTTAATTTTGGTGGCAGATTTCACGAGTTTCTAGCCTCCTTGTTTCTAAACCCCGAGACCCCTATAAAGGCCTGCCTGCCCCGCACGTGGGCGGGAGGCAGAGTCAGGGTGGGGGACCTGTCCCCAGCCTTTCCAGTCCTGACCCTCTTCGCGGTGGCCTCACAACTCAACATGGGACGCTGCCCCTACGATGTCACCACCCCTAGAACCTTTCTTTGAATAGTCATGTTTCCTGGGGGACTTGGGGCTACTATGAAACATAAATAAACCTGAATGAGCAGATATTCGATTTAATTAATGCGTAACGCCTACTGCATCTGAGACAACGGTTCTGGATATCCTTAGTTTAGCCCATCAAGGTTTATGTGCAAGTCACTAAAACCCCATTCCTCATTCAACCTTTCCATCTCCCTCCAGCTTTAGGTCCGCCCTATCTCCCCACACCCCATCGTGAGCAGGGGAGGCCTTACCTGGGGCGTGGGAGGGGGGACTTAGCTCCCTCTCGTCCTTGGAGGGCAAATCTTAACGTGCTCTTAAGTTTCGGCATCTTATGACATAAGGACGAACGCACCTGTGAGTATGGGAAGCCCCGGGCGAGTCTCGGCTTCCATCCACACGGAAGACGACATTAGATCCTTTATGCATCAATGCACTAGATGAATATTGCACCCTTCGTGTCAGCTAGGGGAAAAGCCAGCCCCAAATGCCCTGAGATAAAAGCCCGTTACATTCTTACCCTGTTGATTGGCCAATGGCGACGATGACCGTAATGGTGTCTATTCCACTACTGGCTCTGTTGGTAAATAAGTGAAAAGTAAATAAAACAGGGGCATCGAGGCAACGTGGAGGCAGCAGCTTCCCCACCCCCACCCCCAATCCTGCCCCACCCCCACCCCAACCCCACCCCCAGGTCTGGAGGAGCCAAAGAAAGAAGTGGGAATTAGTAAAACTTGCAAATTCGAAGGAGGGGACGCTGCACGCTGGAGTCCCCGCGGGCGTCGCAGACTGGCGCAGTCGGCCGCCCGAGCTCCCGGGCGCGGGAACCCCAGCAGGTTACCTAACCGAGTCCCTCCGGCCCTCCCCGGCGGCGCGGGCTCTCGAGCGCCCCCTACGGACGCCCCGGCGCGGAGCAGGGGCAGAGGCGCGAGGGGAAGGGTGCGTTGGAGACCGACGGGCAGTCTAACAATTGGCAGGCCGAGCGTGCAAACCTTGCAGGGGCGTATTTAGCGGGTGGGATGTGAAGGGACAACAAAAGAGATGACAGGATCGGGTTGGTGAGTATCAGAGGACACAGGAGGCCTTCGACAGTGTTGAGTATCGTAGCCGAAGACGGCTTGGGGTTGGGATTTGGCTGAGAAGGCGTTTGCAGAGTCACTGAAACAGACGCTAGATTATAATAAAGTAGATGCAGTCCGTGTTGAATTCTCTTTCCAAACTTTGGCAACAGAAGGAAGGAGAGAGGTGGGAGCATAACCCCAAAAAGATAGCAGGGTTATAAAAAAAAAAGTGATTTTCTTTTGTTTGTTTTTGGAATGGAGGAAGGAGAACTGATAAGGCATTTGCTTAGTAAAGAACAAAGACTTTCTTAAAGAAGGAAAAGAATGGGTGATGTTATGTGGAAAGGACGAAAACAGGGCATTTGTAGGATGGCTTTAACTCAATCATAAGGTGAGTGATAAGATGTTTTGCTGAGAATGAATGTGGCAGGGGTGGGATTGGAACCCAGCAAAGTGAAGACCTCATGTGTCCAATTTCATAGGGGCAGAAACATTTCACACCTGCGACCCTAAGAATCTAAGAAGATGATCTGTAAGTAAAGAATAGGAATTACATGCACTTTGGGGGGCGTGCGTTTCTAAGCTTCCAGTTGTGTCTGTCTAGCCATGGTTTTCCAAGTGTGGTGCTGTTGACATTTTGGCCCAGACAATTCATCATTTGAGGTGTGGGCCTGTACTGCTCACTGCAGGATGTTTGACAGCGTCCCTGGTCTCTACTCATTAAATCCAAGTAGGAATACTCCCCATCATGACATAAAAAATGTTCCCGAATTTCCTCAGACATTGTCAATGTCCCCGGAGACAAAATGACCCTTGGTGGCGAACCACTGCTGTAGGACCAGCAGGCTGGCAAAGGCTGTGCTGATTTCTTTGCACCTAGCAGCAGTCCTCTCCTGAGGCAGAGCCTACATCCTCAGCCCTTGCCCTTCTCTGGAATTCTGGAACCTTCTAGTCCTACTTGGTTCAGCACTTCTGATGTAAAGGAGACTTTTTGGGAAAAAACTATCTAGCCTTTCTAGTAATTCTCTGTGGGAGTTTTGTTCTGCTGAAAGGTATCCCCTAATATCCAGAAAAAGAATTTCAAAGCCCTTAAAAAAAAGTTTATTTAGTTCTACTACTTTTTTCTTTAGTCTAACTTGAGAAGTCTGCAAATTTTAGCCCATAGGCAAAAATCCAGCTGTTACCTGTTTTGGAAATAAAGTTTTATTGCAACACATTCACAACCATTCATTCATTCACATATTACCTTTGGCAGCTTTCACACTAAGACCAAGGAGTAGTTTCCACGTAGACCATGCAGCCCTGGCGTAGTTGTTGAAACCCTGTGGCTGTGGATTTGAACATTTAAGATAGAATAAAGAGTTTGTGTCTATAGTGATTAAGTATTGATTATGTTTAAATGTTCTTTCCCGATTTATGCTAAAAATAGAGAATTGGGAATCAATTGTTTTCTTTAAATGTAAATGGAATGAAAAATCTTGCGCTGTTTCTGTGCTATTGAGTATTGTGTTTAGGAAATGGCATAGTGGTTGAGAATAATGTCGCAAGGGTTAATTTTAAGATTATAGACGAATTTATGTTGTCCTCTTAGTTTCTGTTTTTTTTTCCAGTCAGTAATGGTCCTCAATTAAGAATCAGTGATATTTTTAAAAGTTGGGTAGTTGGTATCATCTTTGCACCCCTTTTTTATTCGGCTTACACCTTACATGTTCTTTCTGGACTTATGAATAAGATAGTGTTATATTTGATATTATTTGGTAGGGTCCATATTTTCAATAAAATTGTTCTTTAGCGGGTATGATGTAGTGCCATGGTGTGCCAGGCTACTGGGGGCTGAAGCGCAGTAAGGATCTCTGCGTGAGGCCAGAATATTCCCAAGACTGAGTGGAGTTGATTACTACTTGTAATAGTCCTCGTACACTCATGCCTGGTGGAACATGGTGAGGGCGCAGTCTCTTAAAAAAAAGAAAAGGGAGAAGGCTTTAGGTCCTGGTGAAGGGGTTGAGGTGGCTCACGGCTGCACTCATTAGACTTCTGGGAGGGTCGAAGTGGCGGAGATCGTTGGAATGGTCGGGAGTTTGAGACCAGCTAGCCAGATGCACCACCTGTCTTCGAAAGAATAGGAAAGGACGTGGTAGCAGAGCAACTAAAATAGAAAATCTAGCGAGGTCTAGTAAGTGGCGAGTGCCTGTAGCTCTAGCTAGACTGTGTAGGAGGCTGAGGCAGAGTTGCTTGAGCTAGGAGTTTAGGTGGCTGTGGCGGTAGCTGGAACACAGGCACCGGGGCTGTGGGCAACGGGCTGAGACCCCCCGTCCCCAAAATAAAAAACTCAGAAAGAGCGGTTCTAGTTACTGGGTACAGCCTGGAATTTTTACCTTTTTCTACCCTTCACTCAAGGACAATGAGGTACAAGTAGATTCGCATGAGGTGGTAGTGTCAAATTGATGAGGTCATACACCCAACGCGGAAAGAAAGTATTACGTAGCCGAGAGTTGTTGGGCGTGCGTGTGGTGGCCGCTTGGGGACTGATCCGGTATTGGCGTATCCTGACTGTCAATACAGTGGTTTGTCTCTATGCTTCCACTTCAAACTCTTATAATTCTTTTTTTTTTTTTTTGATAACTGATCAAGCTGGGAAAATCTTGTAAGTCATAATAATGGTTTATTCTACTAATCTTTAATGATGAACATCATTAGTCAGACATTATCTTAACCTCATTTTGCATCTTGAATATTATGTATTTGTCATTCCATTCTATGACAAAAGAACATTTGCCATACTATTATATAAATCCTCCTAGTCCTTACACGAAAATGACTTGAAACTCTGAAACAGTGTTTATTTATGCTTTTGAGTTGCCACTGTACCTGGGTAGTGTCTATTATTTATTTACGTATCTCCTGAAGGTTATTGGTAATCCTTAGTTATTTATATCCCAGGGGTTCTTTAGCCAAAACGCTTTTGTAAAGAAGCTAAAGTATTTGTTTTTCAAATGAATGGCTATACTAACTAGAAAGCATACTTCTGCTTTATTGGGCTTAAAACAAAGTATCTTGCATTATTCCAACATCTGGATCTCATTTATTACTAAGGCAGGATAAGATGGATTTGGAAAAAATGAAGTGAAATCAGTTTTAGTGATCATTATCTGATTTTGCTTTTGGACTGAAAATTTCCCTCCAGTCAGGTTCTGACATGTTTAACTTTGAATAAAAGTGTGGAAAGGAAAAAAAGTTAGTAATCTATTCTACTCCTTCCCTCCCTTCAACTTAAAAAAAAAAAACAAAACTACTTAATATAAAATGTTGGAATAAGGGGCATAATTATTTGAAATTTTTGTGCAATGGCTTTGATGGATTTTACATAATTTCAAATATTAGATGCACTTGTTAAAACATTTTACTCCTCCAAAAATATAATACACCTGGTCTAGATTTTATAGTTTTTCAAATTGATTATCTAAATTTGGGTGATTGTTGAATTTTTAAAAATGGGTTCATAAATGAGATATATCAGAAACGATGTATTTTAAGTCTCTCATGTGTGAATTAAATTTTCCTATAACAACATAACATTACATTTTAAAATTGTCAATCTGTGCCAGTTTTCATGCGTGTTAATATATGTCTTTAAAACACTTTTTTTTACATTTCCTTGAAATTCTAGAAGTATCTGGCACAACCGATGACTTTCTCAAACGTCACTTCAACGTTTTGATATACAAATCTACTTTTTCATTAAAAAGGGAAAAGATTTTTTTCAAAGACATTTAAAATGATTGCAGAGAAGAAATCTCTCATGATATGATAACCTTATTCCCAGTAACCCTGATCATTACTAGTATCAGCACTAAAAAAGAACAAAAGGATGATCGTAGGAGGAGTATAACTAGAAATGATGGGAAGAGGTCTGGGAGTCACATTCTGAATGACAAGGCAAACTTTTCCTGGCAGCGACAGCTCTTAGATGCTGGCGTAATTACCCAAGTTAGAAAGAAGGAAAATGAGAGGACGTGCTATCCCTTGAGATATTTAAGGCCAGATTTGGCAAAGTGCTGGAAAAACAAAATACAGGAAAGTCCCCTGAAAGTGTTGCCAGGGAAATGGCCCGTGTGACCTCCATGTCACGGTGTCTGTGCGCCCTGCTATGGAGAGAGGGCATGGAGTCACCTTTGCTTTCTCACCGGTCCCAGCGTGACCACGGGAGCTGAGCTGAGCTGACCTGGCTCCTGTTTTCCTCCAAATGACCCTTAAGCGGCGGGGCCACTAAGCACTTCAGGATTGCAAAGAGAAAGTTACAGCAAATATAAAAATTATTATTTCTCATCACTCAACTTGTTGGCCAATAAATGTTGAAATCTGGAAATAAAGTCCAAACCAGGTTTTCCTGTGTTAGTTGAAATCTGCATTTAGTGTTTCCATTGAATTCAGTTTGATTCTATGCAGCTTCATTTCATGGATATTTACAAAGTAGCTATGATTGCATTCAGGTAACTCGAAGCCTGGGGCCTATTATAATAAATTGGTCACTGATCATGTTGGAAGTTCAAGAGGTTCTTCTATTTGAACGGCAGGAACAAAGAAAATTTCCCAAGTCTCCATCTGGTTCAGCAATTCCATAAAGCCTGGGTGTGCGGTACAGTGGGAAAAACTCACAATCGGGCGATAGGACTGTTAATTCATCAGCAAACATTTTCAAGCTCTTAGTAGGGTTCTGATCCCATTCTATTTAATAGGTGCTAGGGGTTAGGAGAACTGAAATGAAGTCCTGACCATGGTTACCTACCTCATTCTGCAGCTCTGTTCAAGAGTCTGGGGACAGGCCAGTGGGGTGGCTCACGCCTGTAATCCTAGCACTCTGGGAGGCCGAGGCGAGGTGGGAGGATCACTCAAGGTCAGGAGTTCGAAACCAGCCTGAGCAAGAGGGAGACCCCATCTCTACTAAAAATAGAAAGAAATTAATTAGCCAACTAAAGAAAAAATTAGGCATGGTGGCACGTGCCTGTAGTCCCAGCTACTCTGGAGGCTGAGGCAGGAGGATTGCTTGAGCCCAGGAGTTGGAGGTTGCTGTGAGCTACATTCCTACTCAAGCACAGTCCTGTGAGAGCCATTCTGAATGAAAATAGTGCTGACTCCCTGCTGACAACGGTAACATCAACAATACGACAGAAAAGACTGAGTAGCTCCTGTAATCTCACAGCGTTTGAGCCTCAGCTTCCCTCATCTGTTCCTCACAGCAGCCTTTTCTTTTCCACACGTGGGGAAACGGAGGCACAGAGAGCCCAGGTGACATCTGGGACGTGGCAGAGCCTGCTGTGGAGTTGGGAAGGGTCGTGACGCCCGCTCAGCCGAACTCTTATCCTTCAAACTCAGGGATGGCCGTTTGACTTTCTCTGCTCAGCGACTGCCGGCAGCCTTGTGCCACTTAGTGATTTTTCTAGGAAACTCCTTGCTCTGTGGAAGCCTGCTGCTCTGGCCTGCAAGGAACAGCTATTTCCTTCCAGAAAACCTCAGCTCTTAGTTTGGGGTCCCTCCCCTTCAGAGGCAGCTTGGATTCCAACCAGAAAGGACCATCTGATGGCAAAAGGAGGACTTAAAGGAAAGATTTATTAAGCAGTTATTATGTATCAGGAACTTGTTTAAAAATATCTCATTTATGGCTCACAGCAGCCTCAAAAGAGAATGCTGGGGTTCAGGACAGACAAGGGGGGCACCCAAGGCTGCCCAGAGGATGGCAGCAGAGCCGGGCTTTGACTTCACGCCAAGCCTGGCCTCTCACCCCTCCCTGCGCTGCCCTGAAAAGAATATATGGTCAGCGCCTTGTTTGATCAAAACATTTCTGTGATTTAAATCTGTGATAACTGCCACCACTGCGACAACGCAGGCCACCACTCACTGCTCAAACCTCACTGCCATTGACAAACTCCCTCCACCCCACCCCACCCCACTGCGGCTTTCTCTTCCGTCATAGCATTTGCCACTATCTGACAAAACACAGGGTTATTTGCATTTATCGTCTATCTTGCCTACTGGAATATGCACGTGCAGAGCTTGCACCTTGTCTGACCTGTGAATTTCTATATCCTTTGCACCTGGAATAATGCCCGAAATAAATAATAAACACTTGCTAAATGAATGAGTAAGAGCAAGCTTTTAAAGGCAGAGTAGGTAACAGTTCTGTGATCTACTGATCGTAGCACACTATGATTTAGTCTGGAAAGCATATTTTGGTGCAAAAAAAAGAGGCAATTTGTACCACGCGTTTGCTTAAGAAGTTAAAAGTGATTCCCAGCTTAAAAAT